ACCCACGACCTCAACCAGCAAATTGCCCATTATTCTCCACTTCAGCCAAGCTTTCACCCACGTTTCCACCTACTTTGACCATGTTGACGAGAGAACTCTCCGACCGGTTGATGAATGATGTGAGGGTAGAATATGTGTGTTGTCTAGCTTTCCGAATGGGGTGCTATGAATGATATGTGATGGTGGCTGATTGATGTGTTGTTGCAGTGTGGATTTTCTTCTTAGTTTGTTTCCGTCGTGGTGGTCGTTGTATTGTCTCCAGTGTTAGTTGTTGTAATGCTTGTGTTTGTTTATGTAGTTTTGTTGTGATATTTTCGTGATTGAATGATGTATTTCGGAGTGGTGTGTTAGTGATTGGTTGGTTGACTTGTGGGCGTCGGTGGTTCAATGGTAGAATGCTCGCCTGCCACGCGGGCGGTCCGGGTTCGATTCCCGGCCGACGCACTCCGCTTTTCAGCCCTCACAACACAAAAGCAAACATACCAACCACTAACACTCACCAACTCATCATCACATCACTGTGCACACAATCCTCAAACATCCTCTGCCAAACAACGCACCACGAACGACGTCTGACAAATCAACTCCTCCCTACATCCCCACGCACAGTCACTATCTCCCCTACCATTTTAACACATTCACTATACCACCATCAAATGTGGTCATCATTCTCCGTGTGTGTCACTGACTGAGTGAGTGGGGTGATTGGGTGACTCGATGAGTGTGTATGTGCACGTGTGTGTGCGATTCCTTCACGACCGTATGCATGTCTCCGTGTCTGCATCAATGCGTCTGAGTGCATCCCTCCACAACACTCTATCCGTGTGATAGTGTGTCTGTGTTTCCCTGGAATTCAGCTTGTCTGTCGGTGTGTGCATGTGTGTGTGTGTGTGCGCCTGCGTGAGTGAGTGGCTGAGTGTGTGTGTGTGTGTTTGTGTGCGTGCGTGGGTGCGTGTTGTTTTGTGTTGTTTGTGTTGAGAAGTTTGGAAGTGGGGAGACCCTACTCGTGACATGTAATAAAAATTCAGTGTGAGAGGACATATTTGGGACTCTGTGGATGACTGAGTGGATCACGTTGTGCAATATGCAATGAGTCAATGTGTTATTCGTGAATAGAGAGGAAACATGTCACCAAATCATTCTCTCTCCCCCCTCTCTCTCTCTCTCTCTCTCTCTCTCCATAACTCACTCACTCTCACACTCACACACTCACTCACTCACACACACACACACATGCATTCGTGCATGCATGAATATATGCATACATCCCAGCTAGCAACGATTTCGGGCGCATTGCAGATTGTTTGTGGCAGGCTTAGAGGCATTGTCCCACGTAAATCTATGCACCCGAAAATATTGCTAGCTGGGAGACACAAACAGTGAGTCCGACTGGTGGTGACGAACGCTCACATTCGACGAACTAGTCTCCCACTGAAAGAGTCCTGCGAGTTGAGATTGTCGAAGGCATTCGTCGCTGCCTGACACGAGTTGTGATCAGTGGAGTTTGACAAGCAATCGTTTAGCTTATGCTTCTCACCAATATTCGTCAGAAGTCATCAGAGAGACAGAGACTGTCTGTTTGCAGAATGCACATGGGTGAGTTTGGGAAATGCGTCAATTTTATTCGGATGAGGCGTGAGCAAGAAGTGGCTGAAATGCAACATAAAATATCCACTTCTTCCCATTCTCACCACATTGTCACCCACTCTTACATATTTCTCCCCACGACCTCAACCAGCAAATTGCCCATTATTCTCCACTTCAGCCAAGCTTTCACCCACGTTTCCACCTACTTTGACCATGTTGACGAGAGAACTCTCCGACCGGTTGATGAATGATGTGAGGGTAGAATATGTGTGTTGTCTAGCTTTCCGAATGGGGTGCTATGAATGATATGTGATGGCGGCTGATTGATGTGTTGTTGCAGTGTGGATTTTCTTCTTAGTTTGTTTCCGTCGTGGTGGTCGTTGTATTGTCTCCAGTGTTAGTTGTTGTAATGCTTGTGTTTGTTTATGTAGTTTTGTTGTGATATTTTCGTGATTGAATGATGTATTTCGGAGTGGTGTGTTAGTGATTGGTTGGTTGACTTGTGGGCGTCGGTGGTTCAATGGTAGAATGCTCGCCTGCCACGCGGGCGGTCCGGGTTCGATTCCCGGCCGACGCACTCCGCTTTTCAGCCCTCACAACACAAAAGCAAACATACCAACCACTAACACTCACCAACTCATCATCACATCACTGTGCACACAATCCTCCAACATCCTCTGCCAAACAACGCACCACGAACGACGTCTGACAAATCAACTCCTCCCTACATCCCCACGCACAGTCACTATCTCCCCTACCATTTTAACACATTCACTATACCACCATCAAATGTGGTCATCATTCTCCGTGTGTGTCACTGACTGAGTGAG